AGTATAGCAGTATACATATGCTTTAGCACAGGTGCAATAAAGCATTTAACAGGTCACGCAATTTTTTTGGGCTGAGAAAGAGTTTTCAGTGAGCATCCAACATAAAAATATATGTTTATAACGACTACAAAGAAAATATAGATCTTAAGTCATAGTCTTGACTGAGAATAAGAATTTTGCAGTACTCTGAGGTAGTTAAGGCTAGTAAACTGCATGGAATCTTCTCCATGGTAAGTTAAATGTCATACTCATTCAAAAGTTTTACAGCCAACTTATTTGCAATGATTAAGTAATTTTGGAACAAACAAGAAAACTTATTATTAATTAGTATTTAACTTTGGCACAAACGTTTTATATAACAATGCTTTTTTCACTTATGTAACTGAGTTGCAATACTTACCTGCAACTGAATACAAACAAAAAAAGCCATTAAAATAGACATTAATTGTACTTGTGGGTTTAAATGATAATTACCATAGTTATTCACTGACAGTAAATTCGTCAAGAACAGAGTTTCAGTCGTACAGCTGATATCCCAGCTACCGACAAGACTCTGGCAGTTTTTCAATGGGAAAATTTAATTTTTAATAAAGTTGGAAATAAAGCCCGATCGCCTTACAAACGTTTTTAACAATGCTTGAAGTTGCAAAAGGGCCAATAGATAAGAAAACTTTAAATGCTTTTATATATACAATCCTAGGACATCAAAGAACTTATGAAGAATATTTAATCCAAATGTTAACAGAAGTATCAAAGTAGACGATTCAATTATCTTTTAAGTGATAGATCCATTTTCTATTGTAACGCTGACCAAATAAATTGCCATTGTCATATATTTTTAGGTAAAAAAGTGTAAATTAATGCCTTTTTTGGAACAACAACTATTCTAGGGAATAAGAAATACACTGCACTTTAAAGCAACATTATAGTCTCTTTTTACTTTCTTACAGCTAATTATTTATTCAAAACTGCATGGGCTAAAAAAAAATTTAAGTTCAAGGTGTTTAATTTTGAGAAGTGTAAAGAACTAATGCAAAATATTAAGCCGAAAATGTTTGACGTTACGTGTCAGCACAATAAGGGTCTTCCCTCAGTAAATCTAGGGCAAAGTCACGATGGGGGGAGGGGAGGATAGTGTTGACAAGTTTTGACTAGATTATAGATTTAATTAAGTGAAATATTTTTTTGTTGCTACAAATTAAATACAGGTAAGAGATAGACTTCCATAACGATCTAGCATTTTGTAACGTTGTAACAAAAAAGCATTTTTTTATTAAAAATTTAGTCGGTTCAGGATTCCTAAAAACATGAAAAAAGTACACTAGGTGGTATAAGACATTCGTCTGTATAAAGTTATGCATTTATCTTAAACTTATTTAGAAAGTACTCGTTGTAGTTGGTAAAAAGGAGCTTATAGATCCAATTTATTTTGACAAAGTTAAACAATAACGAGCATTGTGTTAAATAAAGAAATAAAAAAATATTTTTCCGCCCTCGGGTGGTTTTGGGAGGCTGGTACTTCCTCGGGCAAAAAAGCAGTTTTCCGATACTCGTTCGAAAAGTCTCCTTTACGAGCCTCGTTACGGACCTCGCCTTCGGCTCGGGCCGCAAACCTCTCGGTTCGCAAATAGAGACTTTTCAAACTCGTAGGAAAACTACTATTTCTAAATATTTCTCCATAAAAACACAATATATTATCAAAATAATAATCATAATCATATGACATGTTAAACTTACTAAAACATTTGTAGAATTTGATTAAAATATCCTTTAATATTAGAACCTCACCTTTTACTTTCGATCAAAAGTTGTGCAAAAAAGTTTAGGTAGATTTCAAATCTCAACGCACTTTATAGCGTGATAAATAGTGACTATTATGCTCAAAAGTTAGATTCAAGTGTCTAAAACGAGTGACTAGAAATTTTTCAAGAATGTGACGTATAGGGTGAACTAATTCGAGAGATTACGAGTATTTCCTAAGGTAAAAATTTAATTGATTCAATTAAAACAAATAAGTTACAAGCTTTAAAACAATCTCTTTCTGCACCAATAAGCTAGGAGATGTAAATCTGCTAAGGTTAGAAAACACCCTGGATCATTTTGACTGAGATGACTGAGCTTGACAACTTTATACTATTGTGCTTCTTGTTATTTATTTTTTTTTCTATCGTTTGGGAGCAGAAATATTTTCTGACGGTAAAATCAGAGTGTAAGAAAGTTGGAGCACCAAGGAGATCTGGCTCTGAATCAAGAAGTTGGGGATAGTGAAGGTGACATGGAATTTCAAAGACATCTTTTATACCAGGCCTTACGGACAGCTCCTGGTGTTTTAGTATCTTAAGCATCAACTGGTGAAAGACTACATTATTAATTTGTCCTTGCAGTAGAAACCTCTAAAAATTAAATCTGTTATTATAAAAAAAAATATCAGCATCGTATTAATGACACACTTGCTTATACGGACTTTCCTTAATTAGGTAGAAAGCGAGCAGGTCCATTGTTATACAATTAGTAAAAGCTTTGCAGTATATATCTGACAGTTCTTACTTCACTGCCTACTCCACTTTATTAATTCATTATGAATGAATTATTTTATTGTTCATTTTATGTAATGAAGCAAGAAAACCCGTTAAGTTAGAACTTTTAAGAATCCATCGAGCTTCAATTTATACCAGTCCAATGTGACTAGAAAGAAAAAGTTACATCTTGTCATCAGAAAAAAATTCTTATGTACCTTCCGTATAAAACAATATTGTCTTCAAAAAGTATTATGTTAACTAAATGAAAGTCTAAACAACAGCAATAAAATGAATACTGGTCCTTTTAAAATTATTTTTACATTTATTTGTTAAATTAAATTTTGTTGAGATGGATGAATTTGTAAATTATGTTAACTAGTAATGACAAAACCTCTATTTAAAAAAAAATGCTTACTAAGTTATTGAAAGAGCAACGTTTTTATTATGATGTAAAAGTTTTGCTAAAATTTTAAATCATGAAATACATTACTTCTTCAGAACAGTTACATTTTATACGACAAGACCCTTAATTTCTTTTTCATTGTTCCAAGATGTAAGTTTTTCCTTCTAATTTACAATGATATTCAAAAAAAGCACCAGGATGATGGGCTTTTTCATTGTTTTACGTAAGAATGGTTGTTTAACTAATTAATAACAGAAGCTTATCAAAGTAATGTAATTAGTGATGTAGTGGCTCCAGCCAATTTTCTAAATATCCTCAGTAACCCGGGATAATTTCTCATTCATGCTCATAATTTCTTACTATGCAAGATTAAAAATTATTTTTGCTTTTATATCAAAACCTTCAGGAAAAGTTTTAGAAAGACTTTTTGCATTCTTAAAGCCTACATTACGGTTTCGTATACCACAAATATAAACAAGTGAAGAGGATCAGCAAAACTTAAAAAGCTTTAGTAATAATCTAAATACTTTGAGCACACGCTTAACTTCTAACATCCGAGCCCAGAGAGGGGCTTGTTAGTAATATATAAATACATATGTGATTAATTTCTATTGTATTTTCCGAGGCAGCACAAAAAAGTTATCTTGTACCAATGTTTTAAAAAAATCTTTATCGCATCACTACATAATTGAATAACAAATTTTACGCAATAATACGTTTTGCTATTCATACTGCTCTGACGAAGCTTTCTTTGAAACCCTTAGCAAGATCCAATTCCTCAAAATATTTATAATTGATGCAAGCCCAATGTAATCAGTTTTATATTTATGAAGCAGTAGAATCATTTTTAATATACCTATCAAAACTCGAGCTTGAGGTAAGAAAATCCGAGATCATTTCAAATCCGAGACAGGTGCTTATCCAAACCTACGGAACAAGTGGGTGAGTGGCTCCTCGGTGGCTCGAGTAGTGGAGCAGCTCTCTTGTAAACAGGAGGTTGCACGTTTGATCCATACTCAGGAAGGGTGTCTTTCGCTTTCTTTCTTAACATTAAGGTGGCTTAGGTGATTTTTATTGGCTTGATGAAAACCTCTAATATTTTTTAATTATGAATATAAAGTATGACTTAAACTTTTCGCAAAAACTTAAGTTTTTTACAAATAACTACTCAAAATTCACCAGTTTAACACCTACTCTTATGGATAGTGGTCACAAAATTAACTATATCTTCGGAAATCTTTGATTAATTTGAAAAATTTAAAGTAGTTCTTGTGTATTTTTTTTTTCAAAGGGCTTATTGAATTCTTAAAAATATATAGTCAATGACTTAATTTAAGGGACAGTTAGAAAAAAAAAATGAAATATTCATCTCGCTAGCCTCGCAACATCTCCCAATTTTCACAATTATAATTTTACGGTACTTTTCTGGCTTTCTTTTTTTTTCTTGATCTTGTACTTTGGTTATATCAAAATACCTATATTTATTGGGAAATTAACCGTCAAAAAGCGTTAATTTTTAGGGGCCCTTATCGCACTCTACCCTAAATATGATATCAACCATCCAAGCCACCTTAAGTGATTTCAGTTTTTGTTTAGTCCTATAAAACTAACAAAGTCTAGTAACATTCCCATGGTAAGGGGTGAGATACATCTTAAGAACGAGAATTTGAATAGCGAGTTTTTAAGCTTTCGTTTGTGTTTTAAATAATCTTTGTTATATGACTCTTAATGTATGCAAGTGTAAAAAAACTGAATGCAATTCTGGAAAAATTTTTTTTTTTTAATTTAATAGTTTTTATTGCAAATACAATATTAAATCATGTGATTAAACAATTCTTTTTTATACGTTACAAAAAAAAGTTGTCAATTAAATCTTCAAACGTAGGAATGCAAGAGGATAAAGCCAAATGTAAGATAAATCAAGATCTCATCCTTTAACTCCCCATGTATAAATAGGTAAAAGGATGATGGAAAAAGTATTTTTAGCCACTAATCCTTATTAAAGGTATAATTAGTAGAAAATTATTGTACATAATTTATTCGTGTTAAGCAAAAATAAAAAAATTACCAAATAAAACATTTTTCAACAATGTTGAAATTTTTATGTTGCTATATCGATTCACGTATTACTATTATTATCTTTGGTAACACCTGTTGGAAGCTTGTTCATATTATTATCCAAATTATTTAAGTCATTCACAAATGAGTAAGATAAGTTCTGGGCCTTGCTATGTACCCATTTAATGTTAAAATTACTTTTACTTGTCGATCGGCAACCAAACCACCAATATCCAATAGGCCGTGGAAACGCAGGGTTTGCTGAATCCACCTAGAAGAGGACAAAAATAAAATTTATGTATAAGTAATAATCTTTTATTGTGCTTAAAAAAAACAACTTATTTTTATTTTGAATATTTTCTGCAGAATTGTATAAATTAATACGAATGAAATATCTTATAAGATTGTGAAAAAAATGTTCTATTCTTCATAATAAATACCTTATTTAAGTTGGAAAGAACTCAACTCTACTACTTAGAACTTTACTTTAGTAAGAAAGTTCTTAACTTTAATATCGAATGGTTTCCAGATTAATAACATACTATACTAAATAGACAAGTATAATAAACTCTTTCTTATTAAAGATCACAATGTGGTATCTGGCTACGTCATAAATGTAGTCTTATAAAAGTTTAATAATTTTTTGCTTTTGAATACTTTTTTTTACAAAACATATGGCTAAAAATGACTTTTTTACTATATGACAGATATTGAAAAACCACTAACACTTTCCTATTTGATTACTTATGTTACACTCTCTGAAACATCAAGTCCCTCGCTGATATATCTCAAACATACGTCTTCCTTTACAATAGTATTTTTTGCGTAAGGCCTTTCACACGATTTTTTCCGAGATCCTACTCACCTTCAAAAAAGTACAATTCCGTTCTGTTCTCTAATATTTTATCATAGCATATTTTTTGTCCAGATCCCAAACCACTTTTATAGTCCTTTAAATCTCCTCACAAATCAATAAACCAAATAACAGCAACTTATTACCTCTTCTTTTTAGAAATATAATTTTTAGAAAAGCACACTAACGTTCGTGGATCCTATTGCACATACACATATACTTTAGCATATGGTTTTAATTTTAAATTTATTTAGCTATTTTACTACGTTGAAAAATATTGCACGTTGACTTAAGCACAATTATTATATAAAGTTGGTATACAGATTTTGAGAAAAATGAGCTCATACATATATAAAAGCTCTCATTCTCAGACCCCTCTTAGCCCACTATCCAAATGAGGTTAAATTCTAACAGTTTTTACGTAATTTCAAATGGGTTGCAATGATGGTTATATTTTTTCACCCCAATGCTCAGCTCTCCTTACACTTTTTGAGAAAAACTCTTGGCAATATAACAATTTCCAAACAGCCTGTTTTTACCACTCCTTAGCTCCACGTTATTATTTTTTATTCGAATACAGTAATTATTTTAGCTGTATAATTTGTTTGCACATTTCCATGCAGTCTGTTTAAACCTTGTTTTGTCCGATAAATTTTTATTTTGTCCTTTTCCAAGTATTCCCCGCTTGCCCATTTCTATTTAATATTATTGTTAGAAGCTTCATATTGGTTTTGTATACAGTTTAAACAATCAATTAAATTTAATTTTTTCACTCGAAAAGTATGTAACTGAGCCACTCGATAAAAATAGTGTCGCTTACCACACACCATGTAAAAATTTCCACTGCTAGTATGTCAGTTAAACATCAAGAGCTGTAAAATTAAGAATGGCAGAACACAAAGGAGAGATAAAAAAAGAAAAGTATGCATCCATACAATCACAAAATAGCATTGAATTAGCACATACCTCTAATTTTGATAAAATAAAAATCTTAGACATAGGAAAAAGTTACAAAAATCGCAGTTTTTCTGAAACGTTTAATAAACATTACTTTAATAATAATATTAATAGACAAAAAGGTACAGAGAAATTGAAAAGTTGTTATAAGTTTAGCGTTAAGTCAATTAAAAAAGGGGACTGACTTAATGTACATTATTTAAGGACCCCTTTTATTAATAGTATTAGGAAAACATGATCTGTTTACGTACATCTCACAAGAAACTGCTTGCGATTCTTATTTGACTGTATTACGTGCGTTTACTATGTCACTTGCGTATGTGAAGGGTATAAAAGGGTATAAAAGAGTATAAAAGTTGTTATAAGTTTATCGTTAAGTCAATTAAAAAAGGGGATTGACTTGATATACATTATTTAAGGACCCCTTTTATTAATGGTATTAGGAAAACATGAGCTGTTTACGTATATCTCACAAGAAACTGCTTGCGATTCTTATTTGACTGTATTACGTGCGTTTACTATGTCACTTGCGTATGTGAAGGGTATAAAAGGGTATAAAAGGTACTTATCTAAGCTTAAAACTCTAACTATTTTTCGGTCTCACATTTCTTTCGTAAAAATCAAAGGTATGTTATACAGCTAACTAAATTTGTGTTTATAGTATTTTATTAAAATTTGTATAGAAAAGAATTTTTGTTACTCATAGATTTTTGTACCTGATGAGGGTCGGGACATCGTTAAAACGGCCAAAACGTCGTTTTGTTTTTTAATAAGTACAAAATATGACAGTACCACCATTGGACGTTGTTTTTAATTATCTACCAACTGTCATTGGACATCTTATTTAAACATTTAATTATAATTTTAAATAAACTGTGCAATAACATTTTTGACAATTTCATACTTTTGCTAATGTGAAGAAATTAAATTTTTTTTCACTTTTTTTCAATAAGTTTACATCAAAAATCTCTTTCCAAACAACAATTTCTACTTCTGAAGGATGTTTTTCTCTGTGCGAAATAAAAGGCAATGATGATAAATTCTCTGTAAACAGAGTTCTTGTTTATAAAAACTCTTTTTCCAATTTTTTCTGTAGTTATAATTTTTGCCTTGATGTTGTATTAAAGTAATTTCGTTATTTGTAATCTTGTACTGTTACACAACTTATTAACTATACTTAAACTGCGTATTTACATAAGAACTGTTTCAATTTTTAAATTAACCTCATAAGGTGGTAAGCCATGACAAATATTATTTAAAAATCAATTAAAAAATTATTATGAATTTTATTATTAGATTTGTCAACACTTTTACAGCTTCTTAGTGATCATAGAAGCCTTGTCTCATATAATTTAATCTATTTATTCCAATTCCTTTTTTTTGGATTGAAATAATAAAAATAAACTTTCTACATAGTTTTACTCTAGTGGTGAACAAAATGTTCTATGACTGGTCATTACTTTTGCAAGCAGTATTTATGCTATACCAGTTCATGCTATAGATAAACCCTTTTTTTTAAGGGAAATGAAATAACTTGTTGACATTTCATATAGAAATGCTTTTCATGAATTTGCTGGGCCATCAATGAAAAAAAATTTTTTCTGTCTAATCACATTCAATTTAAAAAATTGTGATTTGTGATCAGAGAGATTTATAACGGCTAGAAGAATGAATTTGAGAGTATCGTAAAGTATAGAGTTCTTTGACTTGTATAACTTCTTTAAATATTCTTATCTATACCTAATATCAGTCCTAATTATAATACTGTATAAGAATATAGAAGTAAAGTAAAAACAGCCCATTAGAACTTTTTTTTAGAAACACTATATTATCAATAAAATAATAAAAATTGTTTTCAAAATTTTATGTCCATAAATATTTTCTGCGATTAAAATCAAAACAAAAAGTTGTCTTGAAAAATTATAAAATGATATTTACTTAATTTACACTACTTGTTAATTTATTTCTCCAACTTTAAAAAGTAAACTAAAGGAATTAAATATTCGACTGATTTAAAACATGGGGTTTGGCGCGAGAAGCACACAGAGGGCGCAGCCCCACCAGTATAATTATACGGTAGTGCATATTGCTTAAATAACTATAGTGATAACATGGTGGAATTTTTAAGATGTTGTATCAGTTAAATTAACGTAATAATTATATTTAAATTAATGTATGCAATCCAAAAAAGTTCATTTTTATATGCACAAAACAGTTAGAGAACATTAGTCAAATATTTTTAAGTACTTTTATTAGTAATGTAACGTAAAAGTATTTGTAATGTAACGTAAAAGTTTGATAGATAAAAGGACAGTTTGATATATCTTCTACATATATTTATTTTGTATGCATGTACATTTATTAGAAAATCTCAACTAATAAAAACATTTTTTTTCAGTACTCTTATATGATGTTCATGACTTATCCAGCATGCCTTATCAATCAGGGGCACTTTTAAAGATTTTTACAAATTTGTTATTTACGATATGTACAAGAATGAATATGCAGTGAGTACACACAATAACATAAAAAGAGAATGAAAAAAAATTAATCTTTAAATCTTTTTTTTTGTTACTGCTATTAGTACTATTTCTTATTCAGTCAATTCTCCATTGACTTAACATATACTTTACACTGTACTTTTAAAAAGATATTTTAAAACTTTTTTTTACACTTTCTACAAGGTACATAGATGGACTTTGTGCATACAAACAATGAACAGTTATTATATTAATATAAGTGAGAGTATAACCATGGATTAGTTAATATTAACTTCATTTTAATGTACGTCAAGGTGTAAAATTCATAGAATGTGGAGCTATTTTTGTTATGATAAGTGGTAAGCTATGTGAGAAATCAAAATTTTTTGATATGTTTTGTACATCATAATACTAACTCATACATTAATCAAAATAACATTTAGATCTGCAATAAAACAAATAGTAAATCGTACTCTTAATAACAAGGTATTTTTTAACGTAAGTTAAGTAATTTAATGAGTAATAATGGTGCTATTAGGCATATAATGTTAACCAGAAAAATTTATTATTATTTGTATTTTGAGAAAAGTATAGTTAAATTTTCGTAATTTTGTTTTTTGTTGGCAAAAAATCAAAAATATGTACATATAGGTTATAAAGAAAAGTAAACTCAAAATCTATTTCCTTATCTCCGTATAACAAAAATTTTATAGAGACTAACAGAAATTTGTTATATAGAACGTGTTGTATGTGGAAAAATGTTGAATCGCAATACATTGTTATTACAATTTATTAAGAGTGTATTCGTGCGTAGAGTGGAGGGGTGTGGAGCTCTAATACTAATGTTATAAGATTGGATTGTCATGGTATATGCTTCATGGTATAGGCCTCAGGGTAAATGATAGGTGCCAAAAAATAAGATGGTAAGTAAGTACAACATCAAAAACCTTAGAAGTAATTAAACAAACAACACAAATTTTA